CCCCTTCCCACTCACCAGCTCCTTCTTCACCTCTTTCTTCTCACTCAGCTTCAGGTTAGCAGAGACCTGAGGCCCAGAGAACAGGCGGGTCAGCTACGTGGGAGAGGAGGCCCCTGGAGGACAGGGACAGCAGGCAGGAGGGGCGACTGGGAGGAGGAGGTGGCGTCCGCCTCACCATCATCGCCTCCCACACTGTGAGGTGTGGGAGCAGCATGTCGTCCTGCATGATGTAACAGGACATCTTGCGGAAGGTCCTCAGCTCCCGCGGCCTCCCGTTGACCAGGATCTGCCCCTTCATTCCGGACTCCCTGCAGGAGCATCGTTGGGGACAGGTGTTGAGGCTACTTGGACACCTTCTGTGCTCCCCAGGGGCTCCTCCTTCCTGGGTCCCGCCCTCATCCTCACCTGTATCCTGCCAAGATGTTCATGAACGTGGACTTGCCAGCCCCTGAGGGGCCCATGATGCCAATTAGCTCCCTGCGGCAGAATTTACCTGACAGGCACTTGAGGAGGGTCTTATAACCTGCAGGGAGGGAGGGAGGAACTTTTGATCAGGGCTGCAGTGAACAGAGGCATCCTGAGCTTTCAGGAGCAGCCGTGGCTCTCAGTGAAATAGGCAGTCCTTACTCAGTGTGGATCGGTTAGGATGGAGGAGTAACCCTGAGCCCCGACAATAACCCACACCCTCTTACCCATCCCCCTAGAAATGACCACTACTACAGGCGAAGTACCAGAGGTGACAACACTCTTCTGAAAACCAGGGGAAAACCCCACATCTCATGGATGGGCATGGAGAGGGGTCAAGGTTACAGGAAACCCTGATTCTCTTCTATAAACAGCCATCACGCTGTCACCCCTCCAGGAAGACTTTCTGGATCCTGCCCGAGCTGGCTGACTATCCCGTGTCCCCCAGCACTTCCTGTACGCCCGCAGGTCTGCGATTTACTGCTGGTGAGCTCCTTGGGGCAGAGTTTTTGTCTTACTCATCTTTGTAGCCTCAGCAGACTGCCTGGCAACTAGATGCTCCATAGTGTCCTCTCCGAGATTTGGCCTCATTCTGAAAAAGCCATCTTCTTTGTAAGCTCTCTGTGTGCTTGTATCTGCAGCTCCTGACATGGCCCAGTAAAATCTCACCCTTCATTCACTCACTAGGAGGCAGCACAGGCACTGGTTTAGAGTCAGGTGAATCTAGGTTCAAATCCTGGCTTACAAGCTGTGTGACCTCGGGCATGCGCTTAACCTCTCTGAGCTCCAGGTTGCTCATCTGTAAAATGAGGATGATGTACCTATCTCATAGGGTTGCTATAAAGATTCACTGAGATAATATATGTAAGGCATATGACAGTGCTTGGCACACAGAGTGAATTTAAAAAGTGGCACTCTACTGTTCTCACTGGTATGGCTCAGTGGTTAGAGCATCAGCCGGCAGACTGAAGGGTCCCAGGTCCAATTCCTGCCAAGAGCATGTACCTGGGTTGCAGACTTGATCCCTGGCCTCAGTCAGGGCAGTGCAGGAGGCAACCAATCGATGTTTCTCCCTCTCTCTCTCCCTTCCACTCTCTGAAAAGCAATGGAGAAATTATCCTCAGGTGAGGATTAAAAAAATAATTTTTTTTAAGTGACATTTTATTATTAATTCTATTTGACAAATGCTTATTGATATCTACTACATTCCAAGCTCTGTACTAGACACTGGACAAAAGAAATGAGGAAGACACAGCTCCTGTACTCCAGAAGGCCACAGTCTAGGTAAAAATGATGGAAAACATCTATGGATCTAAAGGAGACAAAATAAGGGTCATGACAAAAGTATAACTAACGCAGGAGGATGCAGGCAGCGGGAATGGCGGGTGGGGCGAAGGGGAGTCTGGAATGGCTTGATGGAAGGGGTGGCCTTGGCACTAAGCCTTGGAGGGTGAGCAGCCCCCAGCGGGGAAAGGGAAGCAGACGCTGTCCGCGCTTTGGGGGGAAAGCTCCCCTATATGTCAGCACAGCCCAGGGAGCAGCGGGCAGCAGCTCCATGGTCCCCTGGTGAAACAGGGTGGAGCCAACGAGGCGGGCCTGCCGGTGAGGCCACAACGCCAGTCCCCCACCAGGTTCTCTGCTCACTGCCACCCTCTCTGACCCCCACGGAGCCCAGTTCCCTCGCCACTCTCTCTGCAGGTCACACAGCAAGTTGCTTATTGGGAGAGGGGAAGTCATAGGTTCCAGCCCTTGCCTCAGTCATCACCATCATCAGTCAGGAAGACCTGTGCTTCTGCACTGCCGCACATGCCTTTCAGAGCCACACATGGGAAGTGACTTCTTTTGCAGGGAAAGAAACTGTCGATGACAAACCTGCCCCGCATTAAGGACTAGATAGAACACTGATGCCCAATACAAATATCTTACACTTGCCTTCCACAAAGCATATCCACAGATACCATCTGAGCTTCACAGCAAGCTGGGTGGTGGGTACCTCATCACCCCAGATCACAGATGAGGAAAGTGAGGCCAGGAGAGAGGAAGTAGCCCTCCCAAGACCACATTGTTTACAAGCAGCTAAAAACCAGTGTCTTTCGATTCCTGCTGTACCATAACTGCTCAGCATGGAAGGGGCCTGTCAGGCCTTCAGGCAAGAAAGGACCAAAGTTCTAGTCCCACCTCCGTCAGTAACTCTCTTTGCAATTTTAAGTCACTTAATTTTTCAGTGTCTCCATTTCTTCATCTATAAAATAAATATAGTAATATCTCCTACCAAGGATATAACAGGGTTATTTTGAATATTGAGATAATTAACTAAAAAGTGTTTGTGCTTGCCTGGCCTGCGTGGCTCAGCGGTTGAGCATCCACCTAGGATCCAGGAGAGCTTGGTTTGACTTCCTGTCAGGGCACATGCCCGGGTTGCAGGCTCAATCCCCAGCAGGGGGCAGCATCTCAATGACTCTCATCATTGATGTTTCTACCTCTCTCTCTCCCTCTCTCTTCCTCTCTCTGAAATCAATAAAGACATATTTCTTAAAAAAAAAAAAAAAAAAAAAGTGTTTGGGCTCAATCCCCCACAGAGGTCTTGTGTGTGCAGGAGGCAGCCAATAGATGCTGATGCTTCTGTCTCATCTGTGTTTCTATCTCCCTCTCCCTTCCTCCCTCTCTAAAATCAATAAAAACATATATATATGTATATATTATATATATATATACATTTAAACCCTGACCCTGGCCAGTGTGTCTCAGTGGCTAGAGCATTGGTTGCAGGTTGAACTTCGGGTCAAGGGCACATACCTGGCCTGCAGGCCCGATCCCCAGCCCTGGTCAGGGCACATTTGGGAGGCAACCAATGGCTGTGTCCCTCTCACACTGATATTTCTCTCTCCCCCTCCCTCCCTTTTCACTCGCTCTCAAAAAAATCAATGGAAAAAATCATCCTCATGTGAGGATTAACAACAACAACAAAAAAAGTGTTTTGCCCTGGCTGGTGTGGCTCAATTGGTTGGGGCATAGTCCCACTCACTGAAGGGTCTTGGGTTCAATTCCTGGTCAGGGCACATACCCAGGTTGCGGGTTCGATCCCCAGTTGGGGTGCATACGGGAGGCAACCGATGGATGTTTTTCTCACATCGATGTTTCTCTCTCTCTCCCTCTCTCTCTAAAATCAATAAAAACATATCCTCAGGTGAGGAGTTTTAAAAAGTGTTTTAAAAAACAAGAAATATCACATATAATTAGGGGAGACTGGTGATGAATCCTTACCTCAAAAAGGCTAAAATCTCCCTCTCCACACCTCTTGCTCTTTTCCCTCTCTCTCTCCCTGTAATTACTTTCTACCTTTTAGACACAGAGAGAGTGGTTCAAGTGAAAAGAGAAGTTAGAGAGAGGAGAGCAGAGGACAGAGAAAGGGGCAAGGGGTGGAAGAGTCAGCAGGATGGACAGCAGAGCGAAAAAGGTCAAAAGGCCTAAGGGACGCCAATTTTGTGGCTGGTGGGTTGAAGCAACCAGACAGCTGGCTCATCTTACCACATTTCCTCTTTATCTTCATTTCTCCTTTAAACTGTGAGGAAATGAGAGGGCTAGTGAAATTATAGCTACCCCTTTGTTTTGTTTTTAAATATGCTTTTATTGATTTCAGAGAGAGGAAAGGAGAGGGGGAGAGCTAGAAACATCAATGATGAGTCACTGACCGCTGCCTCCTGCACGCCCCCTGCTGGGGATCGAGCCCACAGCCCGGCACGTGCCCTGGCCCGGAACTGAACTGTGATCTCCTGGATCCCAGGTGGATGCTCAACTGCTGAGCCGCGCGGCCAGGCCTGCCCCCTCACTTTGTCCAGAGCTGGTCTCAGAGCGGAGAGGCTGCTTAGGAACAGGGTGCCTCAGTTTCCGTTGGCTCATGCCCTGCCACCTTTTGGTGGCTCACCGGAAGGAGGGCGGGAAATGCAGAAACAGCTCTGCTCTGAATTGAAGCACCTGAGATCTGCTTCTTCAGCCTCAGAGAGCAATGTCCCAGCTCCACTCCTGACCCACGCCAGGCTCTGGGGAAACCCAGCTTCTCTATTCCTAGGCCAAGCGTCCAGGGCAGCTGCGGGGGATGGTGGTGGTTCAGCGGAACTCAGATCCCCAGACCTTACCCAAATGTCCTGACGGGGGAAAAGAGGAGATGAAAATGCTGTAAAAGGGAAGTTAAGGGAGAGAAAAAACACCGAACGAAAGAGGGGCTGTGTAGTAAATCTGACAAGCTGAGGGGATCACATGGCAGGCCTGGCAAGCTCAGTCACTAAAAGTAACTTCACAGGGTGATCTGATGCTAAATTCCTAACTGGGCAGTTCTTGAATTTCCCCCCAGTGAGCCCCGTCCATTGTTCTTGAGCATCCTAGGATAACACACCTTAGAAATAAAAGCCAGAATAACCCTCTTTTCCAGGCCCCCAAGGTGTAATCGCCCTCTACAGGGGCCCTGCTCCCAGTCCTCATCGTTATCTTGTTGCCATTTCCATTTATTGCAAATGTTAAATTCCAGAGACTTCCCAGTTGGGCTCTTCCACCTGCCTAATCTACCACCAACAGATTTCATGCAACCTTCCTTTTGCTCTCTGTCCTTTGATCCTAAAGGTTCTCCGGTCCTCAGAAGCATGGAGCATTTTCTGTCTGTTGAGATCTTGCTTCTGGGCAGGTCCTCAGTTTAAGTAAACTCATAGATTTTTTTTTCTATAGGTTTGGACATTCTTACGTTGGCAGAAAAATGCATGGAGGGCTGTGAAACCCAGCTTCTGGCCCCGCCCCAGCGCCTGCTCGCTATGTGACATGTCAGGTCACTCAGCTTCCCTGGGCCTCAGTTTCCCGATCAGTGACACTAGGAAAGCCGCGGCCGCCTGTCCGACCCAGCGTCCCGCAGGCTCCCGGGCGGGGGAGCCCAGGCCCTGCACCTCAGCGCCGCGAGGGCTGAGGGTTTGGTGTCCCCACGGGGCCCACGGGTGCAGGATCTGCAGGACAGGGGCACCCAGGCCCCCCGCGC